GGTTACCCCACACAGGACCAGCAAGTGCTGTCTTTCGTGCCAGAGCCTTGAGAGAGACGACTTTTCGTTTTTTGTTCGCGAAAGCTGGGAGATCCGGGAATCGGTACCTACCAGAAGCTAAGAACATCGAGCCAACCGAAGGCAAAGTCTAGGTGATGCGGAAAGCATCTGAGGAGAGACTACATACGAAAGATCAGTGAAGCAGGTCCTGCTCCACCCTACATTCACTAGCATCAGGGAGCTTCTGTACAGCAGGCCTGAGCTGGCTATGTGGAGGCGTTAACGCCACACTGCTTTTCAGTGTGGAATATTGTGTTAGATGCAATGGTGCATCCAACTCTACTTCCTAGGGTGTGCAAAGCAGCTGTTTCCCAGTTGATGCGGGGATGTCAGAACATCCAGGCGCCAACTAGGAGACACACACGAGGTTTGGAAATGACCCTCCAAAGTACACATAAGAAGTGTATGTGAGGCGTCTGAAGGGTGCAGGTCATAGCGCTTTGAGTCAAGAGTGACCACGGCACTGCAGATCATAGACCGTGACGCAAACATTGACCACGCAACAAGTGGAAACACATCTGTCATGGAGTAATCTTGGGGTCAGTCAGCCTTCCTGTCCACGTGAGCCTCGCAGAGGCAAGGTTATTTAAGTCCTGATCCCGAAGCGTGACCTTAGGACACAGCTGTACCCAGGTAGGTCGCTGCACGTTCCTAACATCACGCAACAGAACCTCCAGAACATACTGAGGACAACGAGAAGCCTGAAACTCTCTTTGGTTGTATACGCGTGAAGCTCAGTCGATGCGGGGTGAAGTCACCAGGCGCCGACTGAGCCCTTCATGAGACAGAACAAGTGATGACAGTGCACCAAGCTGTGGCTGTGGAATTCCATTGTGGAAGACCTGGTGGTTGAGGGGTTGGGGCAGACACGGGAAGAAAAGAAAACACGGGTTAGGGAAGGCCAATGCTCCCGAAAGGACCCCCGGCAAGACCTTAGGCCAAAAGAAGGTATCCCATTGTAAACCGTGTTCCAGCATCATTGCGCTTGCGGATCCAAATGCATGACCTCAGGACACAGCTGAACCCCTGAAGGTCGCTGCGCGTTCCCAACGCCATGCAAAGGATCGTGGCGGGTAAGAAATGAAATTAACTAAAAATTTATGAGGCCTCCGCCTCATTGCGGTCCCTGTTGGTTGCGCCTACATTCTTGAAATGCTCATGCAGTCTCTCAGCAGCCTTGGCGGAGGCATGTATGACCTTATACTCCCAGACCATGGCGTGATGGGCAACAGCATGCCATCTCTGCCTGAGAGAGCCTTGCAAGCGCCTGTTGAGAACCTCGGTGCAATGAGCATCGACACGTTCATTGAGCTCTCTCAACTTCTGCCCTTCATGTCCTCCTGCAGGACTCCAGTTTGGCTTTTTGCCATGAGACGGCACCCAAATGAAGGTTGTAGTGATTCCTGCAATTTGTGCATGCCCAATATTGAGCTTGATCTCCTGTATCAGGCGTGGACATGTAGCAGAAACCTCATGAGCTTGTATGGCCGAAATTGCAGCCTGACAGTCACATATCACGAAGACTTGCCTCCTTGCCCCGCTGCGGGCAGCACCTTTGAGCCCCCTGGAGAGAAACAACAGGGCATTCAGTTCCTGCCTGAAGGCGGATTGGTCCTCGTGGCCAGTGCCTGCCCCGAAAGACCGCTCCTCAAAGTGAATTGCAAAGCTTCCGACGTCGTCTTTGCTGCCTCCGTCGGTGGAGACGTAAAGTGAACGGTTCTCATCCAGAGCCTGGCTCAACTGCAACGTGAGGGTTTCCGTGAAGTCTTCTAGGTCGACTCCATGAGGCGCCGGCGGCATGATTGGAATTGGTTGACAGAAAAGTCTTTCCTGGGCACGGTCAGTCGGTAAACTGAGCCCTTCCCTCAGATCTTGCGTGCAGGGACAACACCATGTGATGTGAACACGGCTTGGCTGTGCCGCACCGCAGAGGCATGTCGACTGCACAACTGAATTGAAAAATCTCTGCCCTGCATTTAAGAACCAAGCAGAACCACCGGTGACTGAAGAAGCATGGTGAAGATAGGAGTCTCTAGCCTCATCATGGCAAATTCGATGACCTCGAAAGGTATATGCATGGTTAGGTGGGGGTGGAGGCAAATCAAAACCCCGGGCAAGGGAAGGATCCTGCCTATGGAAAGATTGAACCACCCTACCAGTTTTCTTCATGTACTCGCCTCTGAAGTGATCAGTCAGCCATTGGTGCACACACTTGAAGGAGTCAACTCCGACTTCGAGCGTGCGAGAAGCGCCATTGGTGTCGAGACGCTGTAGGCTGCGGCCACCCTCGATCAGGCGCCACTTCAATTTGTCTAGCACAGCTTGAGCGCGTGGAAAGACCTCATGCCATTGGGGGAAAGCAGCCACCAGTGGGCACGTGTCTGTCCACTTGGGTGCTCTGGCAACAAAACGCCAGATCTCACGAAGGCAAGCGATGTCAGTGGCATATTCAGGCTCAAGCTGCCACGACAAGTGCTCAAAGATCAAAACTCTGGCGGCTTCCTGTCCGTACCATGGGTTGAATAATGAAAAGATCTCTTGTTTGACAGCAAACAGATCGTCTTTGCTGGGAATAGCAAAGGCAGCAGCCCAGTGCAAGCAGGGCAGGACTAAGCTTCGCACCAATTTTTGCTTTTTGAAAGTGCTGGTCTGGGTCCACTTCAAAAGTCTCAGTCTAAGGACAGCTTTTCTTAAAGAAAATTTAAGAAGTTGCCAGCCCCCATAGAAATCAATTGTGAGCCCCAGGACGTCGACCCTGTCGCACACTTGCAAACCAAACTGCAACGCTATGCTCCGTGATGCATCCGTGTGCTGTCGCGCCGCAAGAAAACACTTATCTGGCGCACTGGTGAGGCCGCACGCTCTGTCGAAAACCGCAGACCTGTGCAATGCTCTGTGCATGATTTCAAGCGGAAATCCTTCTTGGAGCAAAATGGTGCGGTCATCTAAGTAGCCAAACCCGGTGAGGCCCTGGGTGATGGTCAACTCGCACCAACAGTGCGTCACAGCCGCAGCCAGGTATGGCGACAAAGGACAGCCCTGCGCAATGCCGGTCAACTGGGAAGTCCACCCGCTACTAAATGCACCCTCAAGCACAAAAATGCGACCAGAGTTTTTGTAGAAAGCGCTAAGGATGGACAGCAGCTCGGGCGGCGCCCTTAAGTGCAGCAAAATGGTCTCAAGTGCTCCCCATTGAATGGAGTCGAAAAAAGCCGCTAGATCTTGCTGGGCTAAGACCCCAGCTCCTTGGCGCAGGCTTTGATACAACTGCATATGAGCGGCACTCACGCTTGTAGCAGGTAGTCCACCTGCGTCGTAGTGCGATTGCCAAGACTCGCACCAGGGGCGCATGTTGGTGGCCAATGCCCTGGCGCCCGATCTCCATAATATGGAGAAGAGGGAGATTGGCCTTGTACGACCCTGCTTCTTCCACAACAGCACTACTTTTGCTTTGCACCAAGCCTTGGGTAGTCTACCTTGCTCGAGAGACCTGTTCCAAATTGCTGCAGCCAATTCCCACCAGGCCGTGGGTAGTCGCACCAAATCCCTTGCTTCCCAGGAATCAGCGCCGCCGACTTTACTGGACATGGCCCTGGCATTCTGCTGCAGTTGCACCGCAGTAACACGCATGGTGACCTTGCAAGGTTGTGGGCGCTGGACGCCCTGCAGGAGATTGGAGAGTTCAGCCCAATCATGATTTTGGACCGAGTTCCACTTTTTAGTCCAGGTGCTGGCCTGCTCGTGAACTGCATTGGCAGGGTGCTTGGCCCTTTCGGGACAAGGCTCAGCCAGGACCCCCTGTTCATATAACAACTGCTGCTCAGTACGGTTTTTGACAAAAGCACGAATGCGATGGTCCTCTTGTCTGAGCTTTGCCTTCCAGGCATAAAGGATGGCATCACGTTCCTGCTTCTCATATGCCATGAGCACCTGCCTGACGGTTGGAGCAGCAGACCGCAGATTCTCCTCAGAGAAGAAGGGAAGTTCAGGCGCCAGACGTCTAACCCCAGGGAGGGAAACCAAGATTTTGTGAGCCAGAGGCAAGTCCCAGGCGCGGTTACCGAAATGGCGCAACCGTCCATACAATTTGCGTAGACCGGCAACCGCCGGTGAGCATAAAGCCTTCCTAGTCTTGCAGCTCCCTCTTGGAGAAGTGGGATTCCAGTCGGCAGATCTAGGCACAAAGTGGTGGCTGGGTTCGCAAAGGCATTGCTCAGCAAGGTCTGAAAGTAAACCCCACGCCGAGTCCAAACGTATATCCTCAATCGCCTGCCTGATCTCTTGGGTCTGGCATGCCTGAAAGAGTTCTTCAATGTGCTGCAAGGATCTGTCCGCGATCTTCTTACGACAGGGTCCTGTAAGAGCCGATGGTGCACTCGGCAGAAAGTGATATTTCACGACCAAGTGGTCCGAGAAATAGCATTCTCTGTGGTGGACAGAGGAAGCCTGGAGCCTCCAGTGGGACAACGCAAAATCAATTCTGCGCTTGCGTCCTGGCCCCGTGTTGGGGAGAGACCCCGTGCGGTCGCAGCTGTCGCATGCGTGCGTGCCACCTGATTGGATGGTGTGACCGAGGGAAGCTTGATGTTGTTCGAGGTTGTAATCTCCAATCACAACGTAACGAAGACCAGTCGAGGCCGCTGCTGCCACCACTTCCGTGGCCTGTTGCTGGGCAACTGCTTCATTGCGAGCCTGGAAATAGACGGCCACAACAAGGATGGACTCTCTTTGCTGATCCGTTCCTTGAACCTCGAAAGTACCTGCAGCGTACCTGGAGGCAGCAGACTCCACGCTCAATTTGCACGGGCTGAAAGGCACATGACTGCAAAGTGCGACTTTATGCACACCAGACTCTGGCTGACTAAGGCAGACCTGCATTTGTCTTCGCTTCCACGCATTTATGCACCCTGAGGCGTAGCGGACAGGAATGTCTGCCTCTGGGAGCGCCACTATTTGGAATGGAAATTCACAGCTGAAGTCAGCAACTTTGTCCACAGCAGAAATCCCACATCGGGTGAGGTTGATGGTGGCGATTTGCAAAGTGAAAATCAAAATCTAAAGCTCCCAAAATGCTCCAGGGCCTTGTCAAAGAGGACAAGATCAGAGCTCTTTCTGTCAGAGTCGGGGGCAGCAGCAACAAATTTGTCCCTAAGTTTTGCCAACACCCTGATTCTGCGTTTGAGCAGACTTCTGCACCATTTGATGCTCATTGAGCTTTTAGAATGGAGGAAAGGGCAGATGCGCTTAGCGTGTGCAATCGCATCTTTCTTTGCAAGGAAAGTGTTTCCGCACTCCTTGCACACCCAGGTCGGCTTCATACGTGCAATGAAGGGGCTTTGTTGCTTTTGATTTTTGCAGAAGCCCCTGGCTCTGGGCCACCACAAGAAGTTGAAACCCTGGACCTGCATCTCTGAGATCTCACTCAACCTGTTGCTTGTGCGAGCGTACAGCTTGGTGCGGACAACCTTTGCGGCTCTTGCCTCATAATCCAGTTTGCGCCAGGTGGCCCACCGGATTTTGGGGTGATGCTTGCGTTTGTGATGCGTCTTGTGCTTGGCCACACTAGACTCACACATCTGTTCAGCATCCTCCTTGTGGATTGCCATTGGACAAAGTGGGCATTTCCAGTGCACTTGGACATTCTCGGCATGAACGCGCACAAGGTCTTGATAGCTGGCTTTCCTTCGAGGTGGGGGTTCTGGCAGCGCAACCCCTCTGTGATGTTTGGCATAATGGCCTCGAAGGTACTGTCTGACAAACTTGAAGGCGCTGGCTGAAGCTTTATATGGACAGAGTGGGCATTTTAAGCTCTGCAGCTTTGTAGATGCGCTTGGTCTGCGGCACCTCGTGGCATCCGGACAGGTCCTGGCTGCCATCACTGTCTGTCTTGGTAAGCTTGCGCTTGCACGATGCTCGAGGCTTGTCTGGCACACCTCCAAACGTTGGAAGATTCGCACATGTTGATTGGGGGGGTGGAGGAGAGGTAGGCAAGGCGTCCCCAATGCGATTAGATCGGCCACTAAACACAACCTTCTCAACCGAGCCCCTACCCCAAGAAGAACTTGAAGTTTGCACGGGTTTGGCCCCACGATCGGAAACTCTTGATACAAGCTTCTGCAATGAGGCATCGGACGGAACCCTGGACCACACGCTGTATGTGTCAAGATGCGCGGTATCAGCAGAAACATTGACTGTCTTGCCGGCAGCAGACTTAATCAAGGAGACACTAGATCTTGCACCAACGGTCCACACCGAGGCAGCCTTGCTGGTGCGACTGCTGGTGGAGCAAGGCCCTCCTGCACGCAGTTTGGAGACAGGTCCCTTGGTTATATTAACTACCGCATCCGGGTATTTTTTGAGATCATTTTTGGGGAGAAGCAGGTCAATGTGCTTGTCATGGTACCACAACACCAAAATACGTTTTGCCTGTGTACTCCTGAAGGACATAATGGCGAAATCGGCTATGCATGGTATCAAGATTATCTGGACGTCGTACACTCGGGCTAGCGCCTCCACCTCTAGAGGGGACCCATAGGCGCAGTTCTGGGCGCTGGCCGCCAGATAATCGTCGAAGCTTTGCATGGGATCGCCGGAGGGACTTTCTTTGTCCCATTGTGCAGAATATGCTTCTTTGTGCTTCTGCAAGTGTGCAATTGCTTTCGCACGGAGTTCCCTGTGCTCGACCTTGAGTTTGCCGGCTGATAGCCAAGCTAAGCCTTCAGCAATGGCTCTGTATACACAGTTGCCATCCTTTGCGATGTCAATTGTTTGCAGTTCACTGGGAACTGTCCGGACATCACATTTGGTCCTCTTTGCCCCCGGCACTGGTTTTCCGTCCACCCCAACCTCAGCCTCGGAAACTGCCTTTGAAGTGGTGGGGAATGCCATGGAGTGCTGTCTTGGTGCGATGACAGGAACCGCTCCTTGCGGGAGCTTACGCTGAGACTTCTGAAGTGTACGTGCTGGTGCAACTGAGGCCCACAACGTGAGCGGACCAGTGTCAGTCTCTGCCAATAAGGCGACAAGGTCTTTGTCCCCCTTGAGGCAGGTGGCCCGAAAACGGTAAGACAGCTGGCCTCTGCTTCTTCGATGAGTGAGTAGCTCAATGTCCTTGAACTCTGAGGACAGTAGTTGCTTCACAGCATCATCATCCCAGTGGACGGGTAGCCAAGGCAACGTCCAGACTCTTGGAAGAAGTTCGTCTGGCTGAGCGGCCAACCTCCATCCCAAACGACCCCCATGAACTGCCAGGCCAAATGCGGCTCCATGTTGATTGGCTCTGGTGAGGTATTGAGCAGCAGATTCACCCTTGATTCTCTCAATCCAAGTGATTTTAATACGTGGTGCTTGTGATCTACATGGTTCGATGAAAACGCCTTGCTGGCCACTGACTGCCAACAAAGAACTTAAATCTTTCTTGGGTACTCGCATGATGCCAAAAACCTGAAGTTCTTGACCTCCAGTACGCTGTTTCTCTTCTGCCCAATTGAAGGAATCTAAGGGCTGAACATGACGATGTGCCGCCCAGGTGGCGGCAGTCTTGCTGGCATGTTTGCAAAAGCTGGCCCAAGTCTGGTCACTTGCGTACTGCCTAGGCACTCGAACATAAACTGCCACACTTTGCAGGGGGGCCACCTTGATAGGAGCGCTGGCTAGGCCGGCCGGTGTCGGACTATTGGTCACTGAGCTGCTGTGGCACTGCAAAACAACAGCATCCCTGAAGCACAGCTGATCCTGCACTCTTCCAGGGATTTTCTGGCTTGTCTCATCTTTGGCAAGATATATCAAGAGGAATTTGTAAAGAACTTTTGAACCCTGCAACATGAGTTTTGCATGCTCAACTTCTTGCTTTTCGGCTAAGATGACGCCTTCCAAGACTGAGCCGGTGGTGTTGGCATCAATAGCTGCACTGAGTTTTCCAAAGGAAATGACTGGCGCATTCCAATCCTGAGCCCTCAACTGAAAATCCCCCGACTTAGGTTGTCGTGTGACGAGCTTCCATTCATTGTCTGTTGCCAGACCTCTGCCTTTGCCTCTTTTGTTGGGGGTGGCAGAGGAGGAGGGGGCCAGAGTGGGATCAGGACTAATTGAAACCTGAGACTTAGCGGCAGACCCTTCATTCCCCTTACCCTTGATCTTATCACTGGGGGGTGGCTTGGGGGGCTTACCCTTACCTTTAGGCGTATTTTTGCCGAGAGTGTCCTTCGTGGTGTTGGTCACCTGCGGCCCACCTTGACTTTTATCAGCCGTTTGCACAGTCGCAGCTGGAGCACTTAATCCCAAGTTCTGAAAGGCTTCTTTGATGGCTTCTCTAACCGCCTCCATAACATACTGCTTGATCATGCTCTCCAGTTCAGGTCCAAGAGGGCCCGGTCCCGGGTTTTTTGCTTCACCAATGCGAACACCCGAACTTGGATCATGGCCTACTTGGTGATTTGGGACCTCAGACCTCGGCCCCGGGTGCGCTGCTTCCCCTACTCTCATCCCATTAAGGTATGCAAAGCAGAACTGCAATCTAGCCATGGCTGCATACATGAACGGCACAAGTGCATCCCCGCAACTAACCGACGTGGTTGAAGCGGAAGTGTCAAGCGATGCGTTGATACCACAGGAGGTGCTGCGAACCCGAAATGCCGACACTGAATCACTGTGTCCAACCTGATTCGGTGCAGCCTGCGCTTCCTCCGATCGGCGAACCTGACAAGAGGCAAAATCTGAGTCAGCATGTTTTTCGGAGTCCACTTGCATAGCCTTTTGCATCCATGTGGAGGTGTCATCCTGTGATGGCTGCTGGTGCGCTTGGTCTTTAACAGACGGCATACCAAAGTTCAGCAAAGCTCCCTGCAAGCTGCCCTTCGAGACGCGATTATTTTCACTTGACGACAACACAAGAGACTGCATCCCCACAGTGGCTGCTTCATCCCTGGCAAAACTGGGCAACCCAACAGGCAGTTTCCCAGAATTCTCTTGTGGTGATACCTGCAAAGGTACCTTCTCTGCTTTTTTGTGATCCGCGCTAGACCACTCTTTTTCGCTCAAAACTGGCAAGCCAAAAGCGCAACCACTATTCCAGCAGTTACTGACTGGCACACCATGCAAGCACGCCCAAAGAAACCAACTCTTCAGGCAACGGTCCTGATGGAGATTCCTCGTGTGTAATGCAGCCAAAATGGCTTGGCATGTGCGCAAAGCGGCCTCCCACTGAATCTGTGATGCACCCTCATAACAGATCAAGGGGAAAAGAATTGGTCCCTGATCTCCCGCAATCAAGAACCTCGGCCGTTTGCTCCGTGTCAGGAAAGGGCTAACACAAGAGTGCTCTTGCAGATGTCTGTTCATCACTCTACTCTGTCGAATCCAATCAAGTTCAGCGGGACAGTGTCCCCCGGAAGACGGCGCCATGGCCTCCACCTGCAAGCACTATTCGCTCGCTGCCCGATCCAGCTACCCCGGCCCAAACCACTAGGAGGTTGTGCTTGTGCTTGAGCCTTGAGAGAGACGACGGTTAACGATGTAGTATCCCTAGACACCACCTTCCGGCAATCAACCAAAAAACCACCACCAACTATCACCAGCTTTTGTTGTCTTCTTCTCGTCCAGCTGTTTTCTTCCGCAATTGCAATACGCCCCCGCCTGTGCTTGATGATGATCTAGCTGCCGAGCTCCACGCGAGCATCATCGAAGCGATGAGCTTTGGGGTCAGGTGGCAATTTAGTTTGTGTTGGGGGTGTATTTCTATGGGCAGTGTTATACACTCCACAATTATTACAACTATGCATACTATGCCGAACACGCGTTTCCTAAACTCCTCCGTGGGCTGCCCGCTTCAATTTACCTACTTCAGCAAAAACTCCACAAGCCCTCCAACGCCGTCGAACAATATACTGCATACTTGTCATATTACTATTACTACTATCATGAATATCAGGAGACGATTCTTTCATTTATAAGGTTCCTACGGACCCTAAGTCCTAAAGATCCTAAATCTCCAAAGATTCGAATCAAAGCTCTATCATTTATAGAGATCTTACCTGTTATTGTTGAGAGATGTAATGCGTTTTATTCTGAACGGCAAAATACGTGACCGCCGCCATTTTGGGGCAGATTGCAGCTTAAGATCGCTGCAGCTAAACAAGAAGCCGCACCAAGATTCTGACGCGGCGTTCTTGAATGTGAAACGAAACTATTGCACACTAATGGGTCGAGGGGTCAGTGGAGAAGCAGGTACTGTTGGCCTTTCAGGATGTGACACAATGAAAGCCTATGGCCTGTGCCAATGTTTGCTGTTCATCACGTTTGTTTTTAGAAAAGCTGTGCCCAAGAGGATGGCAGGCACTTTACGATTGCTAAGGTTGTGGGGGCTCCATGTCATACAGACTTCAGCATCTTGAGCCACGCACAGATCTTAATGGCAGTGGCGGTAGTACTCAATGAGCATAAGAACTGACGCCTCACCATCCCCAGACTGGTGCCCAAACACTACAAATTCAAGAGCGACATTCACGATGTCTGAATTCCGGAATCCATCAATTATGTTTCTACCGCTTCGGAATTTCTGGAGTGTTCGAAGCTCCTAGAGATTTGCGGATTCAGGAATCTTGGAGCTTGCAGATTTTTCGAACAGTAGTGCAATAGCAAATCAAGAAATCGAAGCAGACGAAACATACAACTGAAGGAACCGCTTCTTGGGCCACGCAGGAAGTACTTATTGCTGTCCTAGGTTCTTCACAAGTCGGGGCTTCAAATAACTTGGAGATACGTCCTCCAGGTTCGGAATCTTGGAATTTTGCAAACCTTCAGATTAAGTAAGAGCTTTTGCACTCTTGCAACTTGCGGACTATGAGAAAGTTTTGAAATCAGAGAACCATTCCTCCCTCTGCGGACACTTCGAGCTTCCTGGAACTTTCGGAAGCTGGGAGTTGCTCTTCCAGATTGTGATGCTTGGAGTCTGCACAATTCTGAGGTCTGGGGTTCCGGATTTGCTTCATATGAACAGATCTTTACTAAATGCTTCCAATATCTTCCAATCTATATTCGACTTCGGCTTTCCTGAGCTTGCTTTCCTCTAATGTAAATAAATCCCTTACAGAAAAATGCTTCCAATCTACATGGAGGATGTTCAAATCCTAGGTTCCTGGGCTTTATGTCAGATACTGTTCTATTCGGATTCCTTCGAAATCTAATAAGACGTAATACTGTACCGGCATGGTAGAATTCCAGTCTACATCTCAGGACCTAGAAATTCGTTTGCTGGTGCCTCCTCAGGTTTTGGCAATACTTCGAATGAAATCTCTGCCCAAAACCTGCGGAGGTACCAAAGTTTCGAGCGGAAATGTTGCCGACGGCTGTGGAGGTACCGAAACAAAGCAGAAATCTAAAGATCTTGATCCTGAAGAGCTCCAGAACTGCGGCTTGTTGTTGTTGTTGTCTTCACTGGTACCTCCTCAGGTTGGGGCCAGATTTTCACCTATCTACGTCCATTTGTGTGTCCTACATGATAAACTGAAAGCACAAAACAAAACCAGCCAAGCTCAAAAAGCCTTCCAGACCGCGTGAGCAGAAAAGCAGTCAGGGAAATCCATCAATCAGGCAAAACGGCAACAACAGTAGAAGAGCGACAAGGCATGCATGGATAAATGGACAGTAAGCGCAAAAAAACAGGACTCGGAAGGAACAAATGTGATACAACCTGTCACGTATTGCCAGCATTAGTGCTGTCTAAGCAAGCTTGGCTCCTAGCAAGCGAATGCCAATTCCCACGCGGCTCCCTCGCGGGGGTGACCTGGTCTCATCTTGCAGCGGTTTGCTCTCCATTGTCTTGCAGCGCCAACTGACATAACATGGTTCAGAGGCAGGCAGCCTCTGTTTTGCACCTCCAGCAAGCTGCGGGACCTTAGACACTAGAACCAGAAACGGCAACGACGCCATGATCATCATGTCAACAGCCGCCTCTACTGCGGCGTAATCACCAAAAGCATCTCCAATTTCCTGCCAATTGGGCAATGTGGTATTGTGGCACACACTCTGAAAAGATTGCAGCTCTATCCTCTGTCCCGGAACTGTCGCTTGGAACTCCACGACCTTTTGCAGGCCTGGAATGTTTGGGCAGGCCGCAACGCGAACGACGTGATGTATCAAAGCACAAAGCTGCAAATGCAGCAGAGACCCCTGCGTCGCAAGCTCGTTGTAACCTGCGCACAGTCAAAAGCGATTCCTGATCCGTAGCCTTCTATGGCCTTAGAGCAACTCTGCACCTTCGTGCTGTTTTCGACTGATGTTGTGTGTTGTTTCCCAATTGCGGGATTCGAAGTTTCACGCCACACCCAGTGCGACTATCTAAGAATTGAATCTCTCGTAGTTTCCAGACACTCCCCAAATAATCGACAAATCTGGCAAGTTCTAATCTTCACACGTCCTTACACACATCGAGTTGGCATTCGGGAGTTCAGTGCTTCGTTGCGTCATGCTGTTGTCGCCTGCTTGCGGGCGCGCAGCCGACAGCTTCCGCAGTGCTTGCCCTGTTCCCATAGTGATTCTTCTTTGTTTCGTCTTACCCTCCATAGCCTTCTCTCCTGTACCCTTGGTCCCATGTGGCAATGAAGGCCCGAGTATACGAAGGCATTGCATTCTCCGGCACCGCCTCATTACATGACCAAGTGCGGGTGTGAAGTGGCCTTGAGGTCCACGGAAAATGCGCAGGGCCGCTCCCCAAAAACATTTTCTGACGGGCCTGTGACGGAAACATGCGCAGAACAAGATATCATACGCATGGGCTAGAAAGCCAGTATTGGCTAGCCGAAGCAAACGTCTAAGTGCTCCAACAAGCGTCGCCAGGCCACAAACTGTACGCCCAAGTGATCCTGTCCACATAGACATAGCCTAATATACCACACTCTCTTTTTCAACTGACCCGCAACGCTGACCACATTGCCTCTGGCTGATCTAGTCCGTCCTATGGAAAACATTGACAATTCCTGTCTGGGCCCATCTCTCTACAAAATGGCCCGCACGAAGGGACCAAACCTGTCATACAGTGCGGGAAACGTTTAAGGTCTCCGTTGCCCACGCGAGCTTCACTCTCTGTACTGAGACTTAGAAGCACAACACATGGGACACAATGGAAGCAGAGGAAAGATTCCCTGTACGTAGATTAGACGCCTGCATCGAAAAATACATGGCGGTGCCAGCGAAGCCGCCACTAGCCCACACGATACTGGCGTGTCCGGAGTAATCCACGTGTTCTTAGTGGAGCACGTGGATGCCCGAGGTTCCTTGGCCCTCAGGCATGCGATTCACTCCTAAGCAGCCACTGCTCAATGAAATGGTAACATGTTGGCTGCTTTGAGGGCAAATTCTTCAAGACCAAAACCTGCAAGGCCGCAAAAGAAGGGCCGGCATCTCTGCACAGCCATTTCTATATCATAGAACCACATAATGACAACAAAACTGCTCACTCGGCTCACAATGCTACACGTCCGATGTAGGGAAGACCCTCCGTGCCCCAGTACGCGCTGCTTCTGCGTGTTGTCGCGTCATGTTGTTTGCCATGTTGACAGTTCTGTTGAATTAGCAAATTCAGCCAAAATACCTGCGCCGTCTAGAGCACCTGGCCCTTGCAGCAATGATCTGTTCGCTGTGATCCTTGAAGGCCAACAATGCTTCAAGTCTGCAGCAGCCATAGCGTGCACTCGTGCACTCGCACCAACTGAGAGCAAGGCAGGAGCTGCTCTCGGCGATCTAGAAGCTCATAGCGCTCGACAGCGGCACCTCGATAGTCGATTGGTGATGGCCTCACAGCGTTCCGAGGATCAAAACTGAAACTGGCCATCTCAGAATTTCAAATGAATGTGTCTTGCCAGCTGAACACCCTCCTAATCCCTGGAAATGCATCGTTCCTCCTTAATTACCACCTGTTCAAGCCCTAGCCATGCGAAACACATACTTTTCCTTGCTTCCACGAGGGTGAGCCGGGCAATGCGTGGCAGGGCTGGGCAGTGTCATGGCATTGCTTGCACCAGGCGGGCACTTCGGCTTAGATCGGTACCTCGCCTTCCGACCCAAACTAAACAGGAGCGCCCATGGCAAAGTTTGGTGTGTGCAGCTGATCAACCACGGCTTGGGCGTGTGCGCATAGTGCAGGCAGGCCATCTTGAAGGCAGCCAGCACAAGCGGAGCCTCCAGACAAGAATCTGAGCCTTAAGAGCGAATTGATCAACAGATTGCATCGGACATCACAAGCGGGCATGATGCATGTTGCTTCAAGGATGTGTGAGGCCACCTGCTCAATCTAGCTGATCTGTTCTGCGCAAGCCCTGTCTCTCATCAATCTCAGTCAGCAACGCTTGCAGTGCAAATGCTTATTTGACCCTAGGGCGGGGTTCTCAGCCCTGGTGGCCCTGATATGAAGGGATGACCGCTAGATGCTGCCTGTCCACTGCAAGAGACGCAGCGGTTGTCAACTCTCACGACTGGCTTCTGCGCCTGGCCCACAGACAAACATCTCCCAAGCACAAACGTGCAACCACATGAAAACTGTACCTGCGGGCCCTCCAGGGCTTTGGAGGGCTTCATGCCCCCGGGCCTTGCAAACTTCCACAGCTCTGGGGCCCGCCAGGCCCGCCACAATCCGCCACATTCACATCCTTCCCTTAAGCTGAGCCGTGTGCGCTGTTTTGACTCGGCCTCATCTCACGGCACGACGCTAGAATCGTTTTCAAAGTGCACGTCCCGCAACATCCACTCAGAGTCGAAGTCTACAATTGCAGGATTTTACATCGGCGCAGCCTAGTCCTGTCCCCATCCCTGTCAATGAGAGATCGGTACATTTTGCAACAAAAAAATCCAGCGACTACATCGCGTAGGTCTGCCACATTCTGGTCTTGGTCGTTGCGGCTGTGCATGTGTGGTGCGGCTTAAGGTCAACCTCAATTCAACGACACGTCAGCATAGCAGGCCAGCTGCACATAATCTGCTGACTCAGGTGGTGTCTCGTCGTCTTTGACCTGACGCTGGCTGCATGTCGTTGCATGTCTCACTCTGTCGACAGAAAGACGGTCTAGGTATTGCGCTCCCATCAAAGAGATTCGGTCACGATCGACTGCATCCTGCTTCTCCAGAGCCTTGCAGAAGGAACAGCAACAGCGTGCAGACGTGATATGCACCTTGCAGCGAGATATCTGGGCCGGCAACACATTGCATCAACTCACTCTCCAGAACAGGCTGCAGCCTAGGGAATCTTTGAGACCTCAAGTCCAGCTCAACGCTAGCATCAGCTCAGGCTTCAGCACGGAGTATATGTGCTCGATTCCACGGAGTACTGCCTCACTACGCAACCGCAAGAAGGAAAGCACCAACAACATGTCAGCATATGGCAGCACCAGATGGGCGCTGGGCATCTGAGTTGTCGAAGACTCCACCGAGTCTCTTCTTGAGCGCCTTTAGCCTGGGTGGCAAGCAGACAGTTAGTGCTCAAATCAGTTAGCGCTGGCTCAGTCTATCTATCAGCTGCTACGTTCCGTGATTGCGTATGGTGGGTGTAGCAAGGAGATGCATGAGCCAACCAGTTCAAAGGCTCAGCTCCATCATTTGCAGCGACGCCACAAAAAGGTTAGGCTACATTCACGTGCCAAGCCATGCCTCGTCAAGAAGGTACCGCCGTCCAAAACCAAAGGAGGTTGTATAAAAACCCCATTCCTTTTTGCTTGACCTGAACAGTTGTTTTCGCTGTTTCCCCTTATCGTTTCCCAAGTTTGTGACCCTATCGTTTTGTTATGAATGTGTCTTTTCTCTTGTCGTTCTTCCAATCAAGTATAGGTAAAACCGACATTTTGCACATCGTAGCACGCCAGGACATAATCCTTTGGTGCGGGCATGTTGCCACCGAGTTTGATCTTGAATGTCGCTTACATATATCTTTGTCTTTTGAGTATCATACGTAGCTGTCTCATGCACTCTCACGGCAGGACAACGAACTGATCAAGCAATACAGGTGATGCCTCGCATCAGCCAGAAATACCTGCTAGCCAGAGCCTCGAATTCCCTTTCTAGAACCTTTTCCCTTTCGGCACAATCCAGCTCGCAAAGCCGCTGAATAGGATTTCCGTTTGGAGTCTCTGGTTCTCATGAGATCTGTCGATCTCCGCAACCAGCAAGATCACACTAGGAAGACGGTCCAAAGATCCGGTCACTAGCAGCTTCAGTGCCTGGATTGTGTGCGCTTCTGCCACCGCACCCATGAACCACGGGGCAAGTACAAAACATGCTTGGCATGTTCTCCTAGTTGCAGCATGCCAATGCCTAGCGAACACTCCTCACCTTCATATCTGTCGAAGCGTTTGCAGACACGAGGCTCATTGTCCGCAGACGTCTTATCTCTCTTCCTTCGCCTGTTTAGCTCCTGCAACCAGAGAAACACTTGATGGGGGGCTTCATCAATTGTTATTGCCCTGTTATGCTCTAGAATGACTAAGAGGATGGCAAGGGTGGCCCTCCGGCTTGTCAGACTCCAGCTACGACCATTTGTTGCAGTAAACTTGCTTACAAAGCGGACCTCAACCCGTTGGATTGGGCTTAGACCTAGAAAGACAAAAGCAGCTTCAGAATAGAGTTGGGACGTGTCGTGGACCCGCAATCTTACGCTTTCATCACTGCTGTACGTATGTTTTGCCAGCTACTACGACTCCGTTCGATTCACACTGTTCACACCTCCAGCTCTTCTCGGGCTTCGGCAGCCAATGCATTCGCCTGCAACCATGGGTATTGACAGAGGAAAACATAGCATCGGCTGTCCGTCTATCTGCGGGGAGGGTCCCCCAGATTGAAAACTGCCAGTTCGTACATTCCGATTCGTCTGCATCGGACACGTGGCATTTGACATTATGTGACCACAGCCTTGGATGCAACCTCATCCACTCGCAGCTCCAAGCTTTCCACACTTTGAGTCGCCCTGTTCATGAAGCTCTTCACCTGGAACGAAACTAGAAAAGGCAGAGCTTGCATGAACTTCCGAGCAGCACCGAACGGCTGTTCATGCATCGGAAACTAACAGCCTCTTCCCGGAGCTTGGCTGAGTTGGACAGTTCGACCTGCAAAGCCAGCTGGTCGCAAAGTTGGATGCCGCTGTTTATCTCTTCGTACCCTCTTTGCCTGATAATCCTCACGGACTTGCTTCACGAAGTTGGCATTGTGCGACGCGATTGTCTCCGATGCGGTGCGAAAATGCTCTCGGACATCATTGACCACCTACGCCAGCCATCAGACAAGAAACCTGCATCAATCTTTCAGGCAATTGTGTGCTGCCCTAGCGACACGTTGGCCTTGTTTTACGGCCGGCGTCTCTGACTGGCTAGTTCATCGTCTGTCAGATCCGGCAACCGCGAATGGTAGATCATCCAGCGCAGTCTCATACATAAAATGTATCACCAGACGCCGCGGCTCATTCACGTGTCACAACCCGTGCGAAATACTCCCTGAAAGCATGCGGGGGCGAATCCAAACATTAAACTCATGGTAGCACAAGGCCTGGGTCGGAAGAAGGAAATGCTTCCCCGCTGCAGGTTTTTACAGTCCTCTTCTACTACAGGGCGGCCTCGCCGACAGTTTGGCGCATTTGTGAAGTTGACGTCTTTGCTTCATGCACCATCTTCGCCACCTAAATGCAGAAAGGACATGCAGTTTTGCATTGCGACAAAAACTGGAAGACGAGTCAGCACGACGTCGGCTCGCAGCTTCTCCAGCTGAACAGCTTCTGCTTTACCTTCCTGTAAAGCAGCTACCGCGTCCTGTCTTTGCGGGGCTCCGCAATTGGCTGTGCAACAGAACACGTGCAGTTCTCAGCAGCTCTCTGCTCCTCCAGCTTGCCAAAGGTAGCATTGGTCTTCTTCAGCTCTCCGGCAATCTGCGAGCATTGCGAGCATGAGCGGAGCTTCAGGGGCCCCACATGTGTCACTTAGGCCCTGCGCCTTTGCTAATCCCAACTCGTCGCCCCAAAGCTCATCACTCAGTGCGTTGTGTTGTCTCTCCATCGTCGCGAATCGCACCTCAGGCGAAGCTACATCTGCTGGCAAGAAGAAGAGTAACATCTACGTAGCTATGCCAGGCCGCCGACTTCAGTTTCAGCTTGAAACTGAGTGAAGCGTCTGCTTTGCTCATCCTTCGATACGTGCAAAATTCATCAGCAGTTGATTCTGGCAGTTCCGTCAGCGGGAAGATTGAGCCGAGGCACAACCCGAGCTTCGCAAACCTCTCGAACTGCGTCTTGGTCCTACGGATTGGTGAGGAGCGTGAAAGGGACCAGGCAGGACCTGTCCAAGCAACCATCCTCCACAAGTCTGTTCACCTCGTTGGCCACCCTTTCCAGATTCCGCTGCATGTGGTGCAGCGTGGACCTCAGGTTACACGCGCGGGGTCTGATGACAGGCTTCAACCTTCAGAGGAGCGTCAACTAAGATTTGGCTGCTAACGTGCCCTGCTCTGAGTGGAACCGTCCGTGAGTGTGCTTCAATGAGCCGCTGCTTTTTCGGAATTGTGCTAGGGACGGGAAGTTTTCGGGCTTCCAGATGGGACATCAGCACTCCTTGGTATTTCACACCACTTGCCCTCTGTGGATTCTTCCTGCTGTGACGGATGGTGACGGTTTGTTCTGACTGCATACCAGCCACTGGCATGGTGGGTGTCCAGACAGCTCAGACAGCTGGGGCTCATGCTCTTTCTGCTCGAGCGCAAACCCTGGCATGCAAGAATATGACCTTATACGATTCTAAGCAATCCTGAATGTGCTGCTAAAGCATGGTTGGCTTGCTCTGCGCTTCCAGCTTCTGAAGCATAGCTTCTAGCTTCTCGTCCATGGAGGCCTGACACCAAGGCTGCGGAAGATCTGGGAGCTGCAAGCGGGATCGTTGCCATCATACCAGGTCTGAACTCTTCAATGGTGACAGAAAGGATGAACCATCAGGGACCCCTTCAGTCCAAAACATGACAGACTCAGAATTTGCGTAGCCTGGCGACAATTAAAAAAGCGCGGGGCCCGCCAAAGCGCAAAGAAGAGACAAGAACACAGGATTGCAGGAGAAACATGACAAGAAGAGCTCTGGCCAAAAAGAGCAGGGCAAGCAGTACACTTCTTTTCCATCCCAAGTTGTCTCAACTTTGTTTTTCTGTGTTGCATGCGCCTGCGTTGAGTAACTTGATCCGGAATCAATTTGGATTGTTCCCTCCTTAGTGCATCTGGAGGAGACCCACCACTGAATTCTGAATGTCTTGTTCATCCTTTCGCATGCATTGGTGGGGACATCTGGGATCCCATCCGGCACTTGATCCCTTAGCTCGGGTATCTCGTTCGCATCTGGCTGATGGCTTGACCGAATCGCCATTCGAAGACTAGCTTGCATCCTGGATCGGTATGTTGACCGCTTGGCAGGCTTGCGCAATGTCAACCGCTCAACTTCGCTCACGGAGGCTCACGCAGCTGCTGGGGAGTGTCACTCACGTACTGCTCGAGCTATGCGAGCATTGCGGGCGGTCCTCTTCGGCATCCATGATGCGACACCTCTGGAACATCACAATCCACCGGCACCACGCGCTACGAGTACGCAGAATGATCTGGCTGACCAGCCGCTGATGAATTGGAGGCAAGGATCAAGGAGCTGTATTGGGGCTTGCCGTCTGCATTTGCACTGCGCGTTGCTGACTTCCTCTTTGAACAGGATGGCAGTGCACAATTAGTTTACGCGGTCTCCAGGCTGGAGGTCATTCTTGTCTCAATTCTCATGTTTCATGTTCGGAGTGAGGTGTTGCTTCCTGTGGACTTGCCCTCTCGAGGGGGGCTGGACATGCCGGATGCCGTTCCTTTTGAGTTAACAGCTGGAACGAGTTGCCCATGGCATGACGACTTGCACCTGCAAGGGAACCAGGCTTCTGCGTTGCAATCCTTCCTGTAAGTCAATCCGATGGCCTAAGAAAGTCTGCATTGGACAGCTCTAGCATCAACTGCTTCAGGCCCAGCGATCTAACAACATGAAGCACGGCTTTGCTTCTCAGTACGGGCTGAAGCCGCACCTCGGCGATCCTCCGCTGATTGTCCCAGCGGGCCATTTCCTCCTTAATCTGTGCCACTGCACCAACCTGTTCAAAAGCAGCGGCTACATTTCCCACTCATGACTCTCCAGCTTCTAGCTTAAAGCGTTTGGACAGCCCTGTTGCTAGAAGCGCATGGCAGTTGGGGCGATGCTATTTGTCTTAAGATGCCTGGGCCTTGGCCCAAGGCGCATGCATTCAGAGAGCGCTTCAGTCTTTGAGCCTATCCGTGGGCCACAAGTCCCGAATCTTAAGCGCCTGCTCCTGAAACCGCAGCTGCCCAAGGTGCAGAGAGTCCCTGGCAGTCAAGAGAGGCGTTTCACATGACTTGGCACCAGAATGCTGTCACGTGAATGCTTTCATTTTGCAGGATTCAAAGAGGGGCGTCTGAACCTACACCGCAACAACAGATCACTGCACCGGCCTCCTTGTTCCTTACGAAACATTCATATCTCCCCCAGCTCAGAACTTCCTTTCTTGCTTTGACAGGTGCTCGGGGCGTTGGATGTTAATGTGGCGGTTTGACGGTTAGACGTCACTTGTCCAAAATGATTTTAGATTCATGATTTCGCTGAACTCTTACAAGCGTCCCAGTGGTTCAGCCCGCCTTGCAGCAATCCTGTGCAAAAGTCCAATTGAGTCGGTTCTCCTTATCACCTTCCCAAATTTCAAACTGGCTCAAGAATTATGATCAAAATGAAGGCCTGCCTGGGATGTCCGGCTATGCCTATGCATATGCAACAAGCGGGCGATATACGGGGAGTTCCAAGAAATCGCCTCAGCCTCTGGCCAATAGGCATCTGGAACAAGCTGACCAGGAGCCGGCCTTTTCCTCCCACCCCGGAAATACATCGCTCACCCAGCCTCCCCCCGAATTGTTGGGTACCCTCACAAACCCCAAGTTACCCGCCAATAACACCCCCCCACTCTTAGGGGCTCTTTTAGCCAGCCAAGCCCCAAGCCTTGCCAGACTTCTACTTTGTGAGACTTGCTTGCTTAGTGACTTTGCGACGTCTTGGCCTCCTAGCCAGCCCGGCTGCCGAGGCGGACGCGCGCTAGCGCTAACATGCCCCTTCTTGGGATTCCTTATAACATAAATATTAATTGGAGTCTTTCTGGCCCCCCATTCATGGAACCTCTACATGTCTCCCAGAAACTGTTCAGGCAGGTGCAATTTCTTCATGATGTCCAGTTACCCGATTCTTCAATATCTCTTTGCCGTCATCCGTCATTGCATCCAACCCCATGTTACACTGCACCACCATTGCCTTGCCAAGTGATGCTTCTAGCATGCCCGGAGATCCTCTCAAAACTGCAGAGCCTAGCTTCTGCCAATCAAGCATTGCTGATCTGAATCTGCAACATGCATCTCCTGTCTTTCATCTCCTGTTATCTCTCACCCGGTTAGCTGCAACCTACCAAAGATCGCGAACCCTTGCAGTCTGCCACCATTTTGCCCAACATGGTCAGTCAAGCGACACAGCATGACATGAGCAACATTCAGAAATACGTCTCATCTCCGTGCAGGTGACGATTTAAGAGTTGGCTGTGAAGGGCGCACCAATATAGCAGAATGACTGGTACTGCAATGTGTCGATGCTCCCAAGCTTGCTTTTGAAGGAGTCCGTCCTGCATGTGCTTGAAGGCCAGCCGAAACTAATCCCGGCACACTAGACACAAAGACGGGCAAGACCTGTGTGAGGATCTGCGACATCAGGAGGATCAATCGTGAGGCGAAATGCCCATCGACGCGTCAGGACAGGATTGCAACATTCCTGCCACCACCTCGCGCCCTCCATAGAAGAAAGCTTCCGACATGGGGCCCACACTCACGCGACAATTCTCTGCGCATTCAGTGCTGTGACTGCGCCCCCGTGGCCCTCCAGGGTAATTGGATTCAGCCCGCTATGCAGGTCCATGAGATGTAAACCTCGGAACTGGCAGCCACAGCACATGTCCATAAAACGAATCTGGGGCCACAGCTTCCTCTGCTCGAGCCACACAGCGCCTGCTACAGCAGGGATTGCACTGGCTTTGTTTTGGAGGCGGCGATCCCAAAATGAATGTCACATCACGTATCTCCGCACCAAATCTCCGTGGACAGGGACACCCGCATAAATGTTTCTGGCTGGCACTTGTATGCGCAGCGCCATCAACAAGGGGGCATGATACGACACGACTCTGAGCAGACAGTTCCTTCTCAAGAGTTCCCCCCACAGTTCCCCTAGCAGAGCTTCTTGTGAAGTTTCTTCTTCCGGCTTCTGGCAGCTTCTCGGGCCTGCTGCAACTTGAAGTCCACGGCCAGAGATCGTACGCGTCCGAACTTGCCTTGTTGATATTTGTTGATCAAAGTAGAGTTATCCGAGGCAAGGGCCTCGATACTCCTTCGTCCATTCAACAGCACACTATTGCAGAGCGGGTGGGGGAGGGAGGAAGGGCAGGAGATTTGAGACTTGATGCTTAAACGTCTTTTAATTCTAGTACCGATATGTACCGATGCTCCACCCTGAACAGCATTTGAGTAAGGAGACATCAGAAGGCTTGCGAACAGAAAATATAGTCTGCCTTACAAAGGCGCTTGACACATTAAACCATTCATCAAGGAGCATTCATGAGATTGTGTGGGGGTCCGCTTCTCCAAGTTCCACACAATGAGCTGTGCATCCCAACCGGCTGTAACGGCCTTCCCATTGCTCCAGTCCACAGCCAAGTCCTTAGCATACGACTCAGCACGCTGAAGCTTTCTGCCTTTCCTACGCAAGTACTGGCTAACTCCAACTGTGTTTGGATACATAGTTTGTAACGTTGTGACTTCCTTTTACATTGGGGCCGGGGTTGAAAAAGGCTGAAAATTCCTGGGAAACAGAAAGGACAAGAGCAGCAGGCAGCAGGACAGACCTCAAAGCAGATCAAACCAAAAAAGAAAAAGCAAGCCCTGGGCAAACTGCATCTGCGTCACTGCTACTACATCCTGGTGACCTGGAGATCATGCTAAGAAGAGATAATGACAGACAATCCGACTCACTGCTCTCTTGCTTTAGACCAGACAGTCCACAACCCGTTTGCCTTGGAGCTGATGCGGCCCTGAAGTGGGCTTGTGATCAGTCGTGGGCTCGTCATCTTCCTCGGAAACGCAATCTTTAGATTGACCGTTCTTATTCAAGCTGCCCTGAAATTTGGACAAGCTTCGGAATCAAAACTCCACAACTGCAGGCGCGAAGTGGAGCTCCCGGCTCCGGCAAGCAGCTGGGACTTGGCCCAGTTTACCGAGATGCACATCAAGCCCCCCGCATGTCCAACGGAAGTGTGCAGGCACGTCCAGTCGTGCAGGTCCCAGACCTTGAAGTCTTGGTCTCCGGCACTCACCAGCCTGTTGGCGCTGAAATCAGCCTGCAATGCCCACACACCGCCGCGATGAGCTTGCAGAGTTTTCTGCAGCTCCGCTGACGACATGGACCACACTCTAAGCGAGCCATCTCCGCATCCGGCCAGGGCACGCCTTCTCTTCCAGTCCGCCTCCACTGCTGTACATCCTTCTGGAGTCTCCGCTGTCTTCTGACAGCCGCCCAACTTGAGATTCCAAAGCTTGGACGAGTCGTCGGCACCACTAACAGCTTCGAAAGTCTCCCAGCTTACCACCAAAGAGTGCACAGTTCCTGTGTGCCCTTCGAGAACACGGATGCATTTTGTCTCCGACTCCAAATCCCACAAGCGCACTGTGCCATCTTCAGAGCCACTCAAAACCATGGCTGAATGCCTAACTGGTTGGGAGATAGAGGTTGGCTCCTCCTGTGTAGCGGGGGCCGCTGGAGGATGCCAGTTGTCAAAGACAATCGACTCCATCACCTCTACTTTCTGGCTGTCATTGCCAGCTTCTTCGGCCTCCAGGCCATCTTCTTCAATCTCCTCGTCTACCTTACTTTTGCTGGCTGGCAATGATGAAAGCCCCGCAGCCTCAGGAAGGCTCTCCTCGGCTGTGTCAACTTTCCGCTTCTTCTTGTCATCTGATGCCTCTTTGGGCACTTTCCCGGACTCCTTCTTCACTTTTTTGTCTTTCACCTTTCTCCTGAGGCATGTCAGCAAAGAGCTGCCGTGGTCCAGATACAAAACCCTATTAGCAGAGCATCTTCTCTTTTTGTTCGCGCTCGTTTTGCTTCTTGTCGTCATTCATCTGTTGTACACCTGGCAGCAGGTGCACTCTGGTGACATGACATGACATGACGATGGCTGCTATCTGTTCCGTAGCCTGGCTTCTTCTGCGCATCTTCCTGACAAGCACAAGATTGGTCAAACAAACACATGGCATGCCAAAACATCGCCGCGCAACAACACGTGACCACGCCAATGTCACGGACAGTGGTCAAGTCATGCTTTCTGCCACGACATGCGTAGAAAGGACATTCAGGCTTGAATGTGCTTGACCCAATCAGCGAAAACAGCGACAGTTAATGACACTGGGAAACACGAGCCAACAGCCAGCAAATTGAGACGACGCCGAAGCCATGGACAATCCGTCCGCACCCACCAAGCCCGTCAGCTGGTACGATGCAATCCCTGCCCACCAGCCTCTTCTTTTTGCTGACACCACTGGATCTCCCAACATGCCCGGGGTCCCATGAGACCCAGCTTTGCTAGGCCCCTGAAAGCCACCGTCAATTCGTACTCTTGACAACTTCATCAGCGGCATCAGATTTGTGCCACGGGCGGTACTGACTGCTGACTACAGATTTGGTTGGGTTTTTGTGACTTTCTTGTATCGTGCGACACATTGAGCATCTTATATAGCGAGAGCTTCAGACGCGGCTAACAGAACTTTCAATTGCCTATGTGGGTCTTGAACATTCTTTCAGCTGAGTGAACAGAACACGAGTCCAGTCTCCCATGTACATCATTGGATGCACTGACCGCTATTGGATGACCGGAATACGTTAATTCCATGTAATTCCCCCACAAGTCAAACATCGCCACACTCGACAGCACAACGTGGCTCATAACTGCCTTTGGACTTTGAAGGAAAGTGGAGGACTAGGGCAAGCTTTGGGGAGCCTGTGGAACATGTTGTGGATGCAAGCAGCCTACATTCGCACGTGCTCTTCATCTGTGGGATGCAAGGTCACGTCAGACTGACATGCTGCACCCGAACCTTCTGCACGTGATCTCCACTAGTGTCTGCCGCGTTGAGCTCAGCAATCTCACAGGAGAAGATACGCTGGACTTCGTCCTCAAGCACGAGCCCAATAAATGAAGGGCTGAAGCTTGCTGAGCGAAATCTTGTAGGAGTCTTGCACCTTGCCTTCTGCGTGTCCAAAGCACCTCGTTGAAGCCCGAGGGATGCCTCCAAGGCTGCACGCAGCTGGCCTGATCGGGCCAAGAAGGCTAAGCAACAATAACTTGGCACACGCAAGCTGCAAGCTACTCGGGAGGGGCTATGTCGCATGAGCTGGGTGGCAACCGAAGCGTCATGCGCACAAGTGAGAAAATCAAAATTTTACCGGGAGAACGCACGGCTGCTAGCAGCGGCCAGCTTCACAGCACAAACACTTGCATTCTATGCATTCCTCTACTTAGCTGGAGTTTGCCCTGGATGCTGGCTTGAGCCTTTAGACTTCCTTCTTCCTCCTGTCAAGGGTCGCCACCGTTGATTGCAGAATTGTTGTTTGGTTGAGAATTCTTGCTGAATTCTGATTCTACTGCTGTTGTCCTCGCCCTTCTTGACACTTGTTTCACTGCCAATTGACTCACGTACTTTTACAGATGCGGGTGACAAGGCCACACTTTTCCTGAGATGCTGCTGTCAGATTGGGTTGGATTTCCGAAGTAGAAGCCAGCTGTCTTGCATTTAATGTTCCCATGTAATACCTCGATCCCCCGTATCAAAATCAATCCCCTGCGTCACGTACCTTCTGGGGCTTGCTTACATTGATAGAGAAACGCTCCATACTCTGCCCCTGCTGCCAGCCCGCCTATTATCACGTAGACAGTGGGGCACCAAGGTCGGGGACGCAGCTTTGTATTCTTTGGTTTCAAATTTCGGGTTGTTAGGGTTTGCATCAACCTCAGCTTTGGCCCTTGTAGATACTTTAGGGCCTACAGTAAGTGCGGCTTTAAACTTGGAGCCCCGAGAGACCCAGAGACCCCCTTCATCCCCAAGTGTCGGAATAACTGGGTCATAGATGTCATAGTCAGCGCAGTTACACTTGGACCATACATATCATGATGCATATAGGTTTTCAGCCAGACTGCTCGGGAATCTCGGGAACCATTTCCAAGGTTACGCCCTTGCGTGCAAAATCGTGCAAAAACAGACAGGCAGAGACATTGCGAAGCATCAAGAGCTTGGGGAAGACAGTGCAAAAGCAAACAGCTCCATGTGTGGGCAAAGTGCGCCCCGCCTACCGAAGTACTTCTCAGATCGACTCCAGGCAGCAGCTCTCGCACTTCTGCTCGAATGCGGTCCGGGCTAATGCCAGCCATGGCAGGCCCCAATGAAGATACACCCAATTATTTGTCAACCCTCAACTCTCGGTGAAACTCTGAGCCAACCTGCAAAGTTAGGGAGGATGTTGGCGAATCCTGCATGCATTCATCTTCTCTAGTAGCGCAGCAGTGGCAACATTGGTTAAGCGGCGCCGGGGCGACAGCTCCTTCATGTGCCTTGCCACTGAGGTATTCAAATGCTCAACCTTGCAAGTGCTGACAAGCACGACCATGACATCAAAAACTGAGCATATGAGGTGCGCATAGGTATCATAACCTGCCTCAGATCCCAGAACGGTCATCTTCTGCACAGTGGGCTCGAGAAGCTCCTCACATATTCTCAACTAGTTCTTGCGTCCAGCAAACGACTGCAAAGGCGGGCACTTGTGTTTTCATATTTTCAGCGCGCTCCGCTCTTCCTATCCCAGCACTCAGCCATCGTGCGCACCGAACATCTCTGAAATGTGTGACTCCATTGTCCGCAGAAGATCACTAGGCCACCTCTCCTCCCAGAAACAACATCAAGAGGAGTCAAAGGGAAGCCCAGATCCCTGCAATCTTTTGAGTCGAGTGATAGGCATGTTGTTCAGCTTCAGGATCAATGGACCTGCACCCTTCAAAAGCTTCACAAACGATGTCAAGGACTTAGCCAAAGCCTGAAATAGGAGCGGTACTCTGACGCGCACACTCGACCGACTGCTGCCAGGTGTAAGATATGTGCTCGGACACCCATTCAGGCTGCAGCTTCGGGTGGCCTTCAGCAGAACTTCAGCATGTCACTTAAAGTCGTAGCCTCTTAGCCAGAACCATCCGAGCTGTCATCCCAACGCTGAGCAGCCTCTGCCAAGTCCGACACAATGCGGGGCTCAAGCGACCCGCCACTGACCAGTGACAACAAATCTTCCAGCAGTTCGACATTTCCCAATATGTCAACATGATCTCCAGAACTGGGTCCGCCACGCAGGCTGCCCGAAATTACGCTCTTCCCAGACTTGTCCTTGTACTCCCGAACCGTGCATGGTATCCTTGCAGGATTCCTCTCTTCACTGTTCCAACCCTTAAGGCACATGAAGCCCAGGGACAGGACAGGACAGGAGTAGTCACCGTCTCCAAGCAAGAAGCCAGCATTTGGTGAGTGCGCCTCTCTATCAATTGCATACTTGGGGCGCTGTATGTCATCGCCAGTCATTCCCAACGCGCCAGTATACTCTGTGGGCACACCAACACCATACAGCGCATACATTCTCATCTGTGGAGCAAACGGCAGAACGGAGGCCAGAGCATTACCCCAGAAAACATCAGATTTTCCGTTTGGTGCCGAATGTGGCGGCCGAGAAGCCCGAAGTCCTTCGAGCAGCCACGCCTCGATCCGCTGTAGATCTGCGGGAACCTGTTTTTTGCTGGCAAGCAAGTTGTATGCTTCTTCCACTGTCAAGTTCCTACCCTCCACCTGTGCCAGCGGCATGCCCGTCACCTTGTGACCCCAGATTGCATCCCCTCCAATAGGCATGATCATCGACAAGGACGAACAACTTCTCCAGAGACTACGTCGGGTGCTGCTGCCGAAATAGTGGTCCACAACAGCGCTAAATGTGCCCATTGTGGCAAAGTCCCGATTGTCCCCTGTAAGGAGTGAGAAGTAAGGCTTGGGCAGGCCTAGCAGCGGAGACGAGATCAAAATGATCGACTGAATGTGGTTGTGCACCCAGTTTGGATGAACATTATCTGTGACCCATTGCATGAAATAATGAAAAAGGTTTCCTCCCATCGAATGTGCCACAATGGCTGCTCTCTCATGGTTCATCCTGACAAGAGTTTCAATCTGCTGCATGAGTCTGGTGAAATACCAATCCCTCTTCTCCATGTCTGAGAAAGATAACCGCCAGTCATAGGATGCCATATACATGGAGTTTTGGTCATAGCCGATGTCTGCCAGGGATTCAATCATCAAGCCCCACAGCCAGTATCCACCAAGGAAGAAATCTGCGCTTTCAAATCCTTGAGAAGGGCGAATGCGGATTGTGCGGTTGAAGAAAGGCTGCTGCAGAGGATCCAGGCCAGTCGTCGCGTTGAGCGTCATGTGGCGTACCCAGCAGTCTGGATCACGGACCATAGCTTGCAGCATAGTAGTGGTGCCCCAAATCCTTTGCCGAAAGTAGTTCTTGATGCAGTCCTCGCCATCCCACACCTCCAAGCCCGTGGTGATTATCCCAGGAACCATAATAACGGGATGCTTGACACGCTTGCCTTCGCGCGCCATCCGAATGCCCACTCGCTCGCTCTTACCCAAGACTTGGCTGATGGCAGGCACCTGTTGGGTCTCTGACCCTGCGGCGCTGACGTTATCAACTAATTTGGAAAGGAATCTTCGAGAAGTGAACATTGACATGAATGCGTGGGGTACGTGGGGAAGGACGCTGTAAGAGGTAGGCTGATCAAGGCGTTTATTCAAAGCTACCCCTGTACCGCACCAGTGAATACTCATTGTGGACTGAAGCATTTCGGGTGCCACTGGAAGTACAAAGGCGCTGTATTAGACTAGCAAAGTTGTGCGCTTGCCGGGATCTTGAAAGCTGGCTTTGCGTACTAATTTGGCACCATGAGCCTGCCAGTCAGGAAGGAGATCCTTCACTCCCAAAGATGTTCGGTTCTTGACGATATCAGTTAGACCTTCGCAAGAGCTGCAGCCAAGGCTTTGCAAAGGCTGCACTGACATGCTGAGCAGGCTGAGGCATCTGCCTAGGGTTGCATTCGACAGCGCCTGCAAGTCGAGGACCTCCTGTGACACCAATCTGCAAAAGATTTTCTGTGTAGCACCGCACAGGAATGCGAGAGCCAGCACTCCCACACACACCCCGTCTGAGGGACATGTTCAAAGATAGCATGTCCTTCATGCGCGATGTTGTGCGGAGCAGACTTTCGACAGTATCCTGAGCTCGCACGATCCCATAATGCAAAGTACAACTGTCATAAACTGTCATGAAGTCTGCGATAATATGATCTGCAACTTCAAAGATCCATGCTGAGCTACGATGTTCATCCACTCCCACCCTCCACAATTAGATCAAACTGCGACAGCTTGAGACGAGCCACAGACGACATCATTTCCTCAGCCGTAATGGTCACAGCGCACAAATCAGGGTTGAACTTGAACAGGCAAACTGTAGCAGCGTGCCAAGGCGAGGCTCGTCGAAGGCCTTGAAGAAGCTGTTGCTAGCAACCCTTGCCCGCTCCCGCAGGGGATCTGGCAGTGGCAACTGCTCTGACCTTGTCTGGTCTCAATGCGGGTACCATGTCACCAAACTCTCACCAGTAGCGCTCAGTCCAGCGGCCTCCAGTAGCCGTACGACAATGCGCATCCGAAACCAAGCGCGAAGATGGCGGGGTAAGACAGCGAAATCGACAGCAGTGGCCTTGTCCACACGTGCTAGCATGCACTGATGCAGGGCGCGACGCTTCATCCAGCGCCTTCTCAAGTACACTGAAACGACGAAGTTGGACAAAGTCCCTCCTGAGACCGCCGGACTAAATTAAGCATGTAGTTGCGCGTGCGAGGCATTGTGAAAGATACTGGCTGCAGTCTCATGCCTTGTGCCAGCACTTGGACAAGGTTCGCTTGGTTTCATCAGGGTCCGGATCATTATCTCGAAGACTGGTCTCAGATTTCTCTCGAGTACTCCTGCAAGCGTATGATGTTGTATGATGCTGTATGCTGTTCTCTCAGCTCTCTATCCCTCCCTTCCAGGAAGAAAAACAGCAACGTATCTATGTTAACTAGCTATTTGCATGTACGCTTCCGATGCTTCTGAGCTCTGCATCCTGGAGCTCGTTGCTGCGCAGCCTCCTGCTCCAGCTTGACCGCGCAGCCTTAACCCTTCGGTCTGGTGCGAGGCCATTCTTAAGTGCTTGCAAGGAAGGTCTGACGACTCATGCGTCTTTCAAGCATGTCGGGGCTGTAAAAAGCCAAAGTGGCTGCAGCTGCTGGATGCATGTGTGCTGTGCTTCTGCATGACACTAATTAGACAGAACAGGACATGCTGTCTGAAGCGTTTCACTTCATGCAGCATCACTGAATCCCGCAGTCTCCGTGACTGCAGCACGCAATCGCGTTTCCATGTGGGCCTCAGAATGCACGCCCCTTCGAGCTACAAGTACATCTAGTGAATAATCGCACATGCGCTACAATACATCTTCCACATCCTCAGCAGCAGCTTCGCTAAAAGCGAACGAGTCATTCCGCCAAGCAAACCACTCCGGGTTTACAGAGTGACTTCAGATGAATGAAGCAACCAGCAGAAGAGCCACGAGGTCTAGAAAAGGAGCTTCCAGGACTCGCGAACGCTCCGTCCGTATGTCCCACAAGTGAAAGACTGCACGAATTGAAGACTCACGTGAATTGACCTGCTAGTCTCTGCTCGCTCGGCATCTGGTGCTAGGCCTTGGACGATCTGCAGCTCCAGCGTGCCCTGCAAACGTCCGACATGCATCAACAGCATGAAAGGTGCAGGAAGCAAAGTCAAAGCGGGTGAGAAGCTGTCGCAGTTGGGCTGCAACGGTGTAAGGGGGATCTAGTCTGGTGTGCTGCAATGATTCTCGTCATCAAAGCCTCACCTCACAGTACCACCAAAGCCAGGATTGGAAGAAAGAGCCAAGCCATGTCAGCTTTCATCACCCCTATGCAGATTGCCTGAGCATCGGCCCACGCAGGGCCAGATCGATCTCCTGAGACGGATTGCTTCAGTTGCCAGCGTGATTTGTGTGGGACTAGCTTTAGTGTCAAGCTTTCGGGCTTTTTCACGATCATGCAGTTGTTTTGGGGGTCTTGTTTGATGTCAAGTCATAAAAGCGAAACTAGCAATTTTTGAGTGCTGAAGATCCAGAACTATAGTTGTGTTTAATTCAGACGGGGAATCCTTTGAGGTCTTTGCGGCCAAAGGAGCTCCTAGAGGCAGCAGACAAGTCTCAAAGGGGGCAACCTGAAACTTTTCTCACTACTCTAGTCCGCTGAAAATAAGGACCTTCTTTAGTGGAATTGTCTTCTCTGATGTCAAGAAATCTTGCTTGCCTAGACCTTCTTTATAGAAGAACTTTGCTTCAAAGCTTTAAGGCTTGGGCAGAGCTCCTGTTCATCCCAATCCCTTACTTTTCTGAATTCCTTGCTTTTCAGCCCAGACTCCCAAGCTCAATCCCAAGCTCGACGACTAGTACAAATAAGTCTAAGTACTTACTAATATCTATACTCATGTTTACGGCACGCATACTAATACTCGTACCACAATATCACTACAGTAATAACACAGATACTAAGGCTAGTCTACGCACTAGTCGGACTGGTACCACCAGAACTCCCTAAATTGTTTTGGTGCAATTACCGTCTAAAGGAGGTCACCCCTAATCATTCTAGGAGGACACCCATATCCCAAAGCCGGTCTCAGATTGGCTATGTTCATTCATTGATTGACCATCCCAGCATGTTTCTGAGCATTCCTTCACCAAGCTAAAAGACGCCTTTGTGAGATCTTATTTGGGGTGCTGTATTTGGCAATGTTGGCAATGACCTCAGGCCGTGGCCATCTCGAGCATGCCTCTCGGCAGCGGCCTGCAGAAATGAACTTGCTCACACACGTGCTCAGGCATCTCGGCGCCCGGATTACACGCAGGCGCACAAACGTTTAGCTTCCGAGATGCCGGCCATTGTTTGGGCCCACTCTTCCAGCAGCTTCCGATCTGCCGAGCCGGTTACTACTGCTCTCGTCGGAAGTTTTGCAGCCAGGGGTTCAGTATCTGCATAAACTTCAGCCGTTCAGAGACATCAATGTCAGCTCCACTGCGCCCTAGATACCAGGCAGGCACAGCAAAGCGCATGTCAGGAATAAGGGCATAGGTTCGGATAGAAACTATGTCATAGATATGCGCTCATGCTGCATAATCGTCCTTCATTTGCTCTGGAGCCAGACAAGCAGCATGGATCCTACAGGCCAGTGCTAGAGTATCGTGCAGAAGGTGCAAATGCCGCGCATACTTAATTGGCATTCAACCCAACTGATCTCGAAAGAGAGGTGCTGCTCTTTTTCAACTTGTAGACGTCTTCATCGGCTCACTCGCTGACTAGTTCATGCACGGCCTCAAGACTCTCAAAGCCAAATTGCATCGTCAATCAAAACTTCACAGCAAACACCAAAGCTTCAAGAAATCGTACTGCATCTTCTGCTTGCGCGCCCCTTGCACAAGCATCTATTGCTGATGCACACAGCTGTGCATCCAAAGTAGACTGGCAGGGCAGCATCTCCAAAACTTCCAGCACTTGCTGCCAGCGCAAGCTCTTCTGGCACGCTGCGAGCACTATGCTATATGTGACAGTATCTCCCCGCAGAGCGTAATTACCCATTCTGCACAGGAAGCTCAAAGCCCGTTGCCATTGGCTCGACGCTTCGAAGGCAGCAAGCATTGAATTACACGTGATGACTGTGGGCATCTCCGATTCCACCAGAATCTTGTACAGATGAAGGGCTTCCTGCCACTTACCCGCTTGCACTGTGCAGCTGATCGCAGAACTAAGCGTGACCATGTTGGGAACTGTAGCGGAGCTCGACATACTTGTCATCAATCCCAGTGCAATTTGCCACTGCCCCAGCTTCTCACAAGCACTGATAGCTGAATTGTAGGTAATAGTGTCGGCATGCAGGGCATCAGCTGACACATCGCTGAGGAATTGAAGCCCCAGTTGCCATGCCCCTGACAAATGTGGGAAAGATGAGTACCGTCACAAAATGGTTTCATTCCTTGGGGAATCTAATTCTTTCGGCAGACTTTGAGATAGGAAAACTCACATCACATCCTCTCTGCATTGTTCTACTCTTTGCAATGTGGGTGTGGTGGGCACCCTGTCTTGAGGGCCACAGCCAGAATTATCTGCAACTGAGCCTGTGATTGTACGAAACGATGTGGTCCGACGATGACTATGCCAGCGGTGCTGATGACGACTGTGTGAGGACCACTTATACTGACGATGGGGATGATGACGACGATGGTAGCAGCAGCCTAGCCAAGCCGTGCCGGCCGAAACAACGCCGCATCACTACTTTAAACAAGAAGCACGTAGGCTTTGTGGACGACACTGCGCAACTGTTGGATTGACTCAAGTCTCTCTCATTGAACTGGTGGGCAATGCTAAAAAAAGTGACGGATTTGCAATGACGGATTTGCAATCCGATGACCATCACGGTCCGCTTGCCTGCACCATCCTGGGTGCTCCTAGTGAAATTGTATGCCTGCTTGCCAAAACAACAGCCTCAAACGTAGAAGGTTGCGCATGGTTGCGTCGGCTGCCCGTGCCACAGGTCCGAATCTGAAGTGACCCGAGCCGATGCGACGCCAGACAATCAATGCGGTTTCCTTTGTGTTCTTGCGGGAGCCTGCTTGCAGCTCAACGAGCGAGAGAATGGTAAGAGAATGGCAGGGAACGCAGAAAAATGACATTTCACAAAACCCTGCAAACTAGCGAACGTCGCTTCAAAACGGAGTGGTCGTCCACAGGCTGCCTGGAACGTTTGCCGCAGAGTGGGTTCCGTGTGTTATGGCTCAGGCAACGAAAACGAACTCCCCGCATCATGTCTAAGGCTCGCGTGGCAGCAAGAACTCCACGCTCCAAGGGCTGCAACTGCCGGAAATCATATGATCAGGTCACAATTCGCAACTAGGGGCTCACTCACTCAAACATACCTGAGATCCCAAAATGCCCAGCCTTCTTTGCTGCATGCATTAATCATGATGTTGTATGTGAGCACGTCAGGAAAGGATGGTTGGTCTAGCGTTTTCAGCTGATTCCAAGCCATCAAGGCTGTGGCGAGGCCATGTGAAGAGCAAGAGGTCAAGGCCGCATTGAAAGTTGCAGCGTTCGGAATAACAGAAAACTCAGGCATTCTGTGCAGGAGCGCCAGCGAGCATGTCCAACGGCTAGCTTTGCCATAGGCACTGATCAATGCAGTGCAGGTGATCGTGTCAACCGCATGCTGCGGCATCCTTGAAAACAGCTCGGCGGCATCCATCCACTTGCTTGATTTGTCCAGCGCACTGATTGCAGAATTGAATATGTAGTTGTTGGGAACTAGGCTTGTTGCCGGCATGCCCCTTGACACCTGCAATGCCAACAGCCAGGAGCTGGTTTTCTCGCAAGAATTGAGGAAAGCACCGTAGATTACGTCGTTTGGCTGCAAAGCGGCAAACTTCAGCTCTGCAAAGCAGTTCATGGCCAGGTGCCAGTCATGTTGGCAGCAACTGATGCAAGTACTGCAAGAGATGCAGTCTGGGCGAGCACGGTATGGAACCATCATGTTAAAACCAAGCATAGCCCGTTTCCAGCTCTGAATTGCTTGAAGCGTGGCTAAAAGAGAATTAAAGCTGATGGTAGCTTGAGAAGCCTCTGTTCCAGTGATCTGCAAAGCCATGCTCCACTGAGACCCCTTCTCGCATGCACCGAGCATTACATTCTGCGTGACATCATCGGCCAGGACCCCATCATTCCTCATGTCTTCTTGTATATGCAACGCCAAGGCCCACTGGCTGCCACCAGTGCACGCACTGGCTAAACTGTTGAAGGTGAAGGCATTCGCAAAAACTCCTGGCGGCAAACTTCTGACAACACGGAGCGCAAGCTGCCAGGAACATCTTTGCGAAAGCGCAGACACCACTGTCGTGTAGTGCACCTCAGGAGCTGAAGTGAACATCGCAAAAAAGTTACCCCAAGCAAGAAACCCATAGTCACGTTTTTCGTAACGGCAGACGCCGACGTGTCTTATGTGTTCTCAGCTCTATGTATATGTATATATACACATATGGTACCTTGAAGTGGCAAACATGACAGGACGTAGAAAGCTGTGTTTTCACGCAACTGGGATTTCAACACCTGCTTTTGGTTCAGGGAAAGAGCAATGTTCATCCGGAAAGCATGGCTTACAAGTAACAAGATGCACAAACGAGTCCTCAGCTGAACGCTATGTTGAATGTAAGAACTTTGGAAGTGCGCACGAGGTTGGCCAATGTGTTTGAATGTGTTCCAAAGACTTGTTTTGCAAGCGCCTACCTTCATGGACGCTGGAAGCTGAGTCCTCAATGCAACTTCTGCACCCAGTCCGTACCCATGAGGAGCTGGCGTCAAATGACTCTGTTGGGGGAAGACCCATGCTTGAGAGAGGGACAGCTACTTGAGTGCTATCCGATTCCCGGACATCAGTTTCCGTTGACCATTTCGCGCTTGTCGGCCTTGCACAATTCAGCCTGAAGCACTTCCTGCTGCTGTCCAGCTGACGGTTTTGCATGGATGTACTGGACCTGCTGCAAGAGCATATGCTTCTGTCAATCGGCGCTCGGTTGTCTTGGTCTTTGAGGTTTAACTTGCGAAGTTCCTGCGTGGACTGGCGTCCTTGTCCTCTTGATTGGCAGGACGTGCTCCGGATGAAAAGCGCGCCAGTGATTCGTGCAGCGCTGCGGCGCGCTCAGACCAGGAGCAGTGGCAGCTCAACGCAAGTAGTATCCCGTAGCGCAATGCATCTTTCTGACGTTCGAGTAAGGCTGGAGCTCAGATAACGAGCAGGCAAGCAGCTCAGTTGGAAACCTGAAGTTGCGTAGCCATTGACAATCCACTGTCCCCCAACATCCGAAAGTGAGTTTTAATCTGTAGGCACACTTCGCCAACACTTACGGGACTTCACACGCTCGTGAAACAAATTGCGCCCAAACTTTGTTGATACCTACCGGGAGAGTGGCAAGGAGAGTCAATAGTGTCTTGCCGGGTGGGCGTTCTGCAGAGCGCGTGCCCGGAGCGCGTGTGCGGCTGAGCGTTGTCCGGGAAGACTAGATAGAACAGCCAGGGCTCGGCAGTATAGGGACTTAGTACTAAGCCTTGGCATTGATGGCGTTGCTGTTTAACAGGTCGACATATCTCAGGAGCCCACAAAGAGTCCCAGGACGCCCCAAAGCAAAACAAGGGCTTTTGCGTGTGCCAAGCGCCCATGCTTCTGATTCTTGCGCTTTGTGGCTCTATTTAATCCGAGGACTCAAACAATGAAAGGGACCATATTTAAAGAGATTTGTTGGTGTAGAATTACGCTCCAAGACTAGCTACAATTAGGTGGCTTTTCGTATGATTTTCTTTGGGAACGTATCCTGATAATAGAGATATTCAATACATTCCTATTCATTTTTAACTAATAGAGGTCCAAGAGTCCCAATGACGCAGGAATGCATTCCTATTCATTTTTAATTGAGTTCCAAGAGTCCCAATCATTCATTTAATCTGGCACCTTCCATTTGCGCGGATTAATGAAGATGCGGAAAAGGGCTGCGGCTCGTGCAACGGCGCATTACACGGCCTGGCTTCCTTGAGGGTCTCTACTTAGCAGCATGACTGGATTACTCTCCATGAGCGAGGGAAGTGAAGTAAAGACACGGCTTGTGCGGTGTTGCACGGGCAAGCCCAAGCCGCCGCAGGCCCCAGGAAACGATCAGAAGGAGCTGCAGACAACCAAAACCAAAAACAGCAGTCACAAGCCATGCCTGTGCAATGCAGAAGAAGCATGCGCCGCCCCTACAGCACACCTAAATCGCTTGCTTAATGTCCCAGGCTCAATGTTCGCCTCTATGCCTCGATCCGGCATGAGCGTCAATGTGTAGATCGCAAGGGATGTCAGTTGTTGTCGGGCAAGCACCTTCAACGTCGAGGTGGCAAATTGAGCGTTACCTGAGTTGCTTCAGGCATGAGCACTCAGTTCTACATGAGATAGCACGAGGCAGATTGCCGTAGTCATCCGTAGTCACTAGACGTCAGGTGCCAGCCTCGTGACCTCTCCAGCTACGCATGATCGGCAGGCTTTCCTTGGATGCCAGCCTTTGGCTCGGGCCTACATGCTTTGGGCACACTCAGATTGAAAAAAATATGAAAGTGTCAAGTTCCAGCTGGCCAGGCATCCTTGGCCCACACCTGCATCTGAGCAGTAGGACTCTTCCTCCTCAAATGTTGAACTAGTCGCTGGATCCTCCTGCAGAGAAACAAGTATCCTGACAGAATCTCCTACGACAGGGGCAAGTCAATCATGCTCCTCATGTCGGCATCCGCCATTGCGCCAAGCACTTTTAACAGGCATTTAGCAGACCAAGTATTGAGCCAACGCTGGGGTTCAGCACACGATCACGGCCCTTCACACCCCAATACCATGTCATCCAATACAGCCAGAGTGTGTACTTGGTCCCTCTTGAAGAGAAAAGCAGTGATGCTGCTCCGCTGGATCAACAGCTCGGAGATAGACTGCTTCGGTTGACCGCATGTTCCCGCCTCTCTGCGCTGAGCAGCAGATGGGGTTTGGCGAACAGGTTTCTTTGTGAAACTCGTGCCCTAGGAGGCGAGGAGCCTACCGCTTAAGCAGGGATAGCATGCTCAGTTGTGTACCTCAGGCAGGCACAATGCAGGACACGTCACGTCATGGAGCTTCATGAGAATTCTCAGCTGTAAATTGGTTTCGCAGATTCTGCAAAGGATGCGTTTTGGCTCCCAGCATTCTTGCCATTGATCGAAATCCTCGGAGATCCCCGTTTCCTGCCATGTTTTGACCAACTTACAGATCACGGCACGCGTGCTCGCCATGACTTGTCCGAAATGGGAACCACGCCAGCCATCCTGGACTCTGCCAAATAAACATGCAAGCTTTGCTTAAGAGATTCCCGGCATCGCAGTTCAGTGGGCTGTCCGGATTCGGATCTCGCCTAACTGGACTCCAGGTCAAATTGTAATCGCAATGGTTAGAAATTTATGTCTAAGCCAAGCGGTGGGCAACAGCGCGATCACAGCGCGGCAGACATACCTTAGATCACTTGATTGACCTCTGCAAGAATCAACTGCTTGTTAATCGGAGTAGGGAGCAGGCTGCAAAGTCCACGCAGGGCTCCAGTCGGTTTTCAATATATCCAAGCAGAGCCTCAGACGGCGTTTTTTCCATTTGTGGTTTCCCTGTCCTTGGATACCGTCCGGGGCCGCATGCTCACCAGTATTGAAGTTGACGTTTGGGTGGAAAATCTTAGTCACGAAGCTGACCTGCGAGGCATTCAAACGTCTGAGACACTCGCAAAAGCTACATGGCAAAATCTAGACCGAGGGCTGCCGAGAAAATCATGCACTTGATCACAATCTATGAAATTGCAGTAGCAGACAACATGAGAGAAGCCAAACACAGCAGATGTGGCCTGAGGTGCAGTGTATGGATAATTTGCCGTACAGGCAATGTCCAGCTTGAAGTGTCCACCCTCGTATGGCGAGTCCTTGCTACGATCGTCTCACTTGATGCTGGCTGGCAGGATTGTTGAAAAACATGCGCTCGAAGCATCCTGTGGGCCCTTTATGATCGCGCGCCACTGCTCGAAGCTGTCACCAGCCCTTCAGAAAGGCGCAAGCAACTATTGCTGTTGAAGAAATGAAGAAGCTCAGCTCAGGACAACTCTAAGCTAATGTCTGGATCAGGATTCCTACGCGGTGAACTGACTGTCTCGTACAATCTCCATACATAATAAATCCCCATACACAATGGACGAGGCGCCAGCACCTGCACAGGCGCAAGCAAACAAGCGGGTGATGTCTCGCACTTGCGCTGGGATCTAGTCAAATCAACTACTCATGGAAGTGCATCCGTGCATCCTGCACGTGGCTCTGGCTACCACAACGATCTGTTGCATTGTCACTGTCCGCCTCTATGACAGAACACGCAGAATCCAAATTCCGCAAAGGCTGGTCTGGATACTGTACGAAATCGAACCGGTGGGCTCCCTTTGACTGGGAGCAGTCAGGGGCTGGAGCGGGCAGTATGCCCCAGCCGTGGCTTTTACGGCCAGTCGCAAAGATGTCACTAGTGGAAAGGATTTCTTCGCCAATGATGCAGAATGTGTCGGGTGTCCTCTCGACTTCTTTCCATTCTTTGTTAAGCCGGTTCCTGTGCAGCCAAATGCTAGGACATGTTACCGGGGTCCGTTGGCTTTGTCAGTCTTTAAAACAAATCAGCGGGCCTGGCCATGGCAGAAGGGATGTGCTGATGGGGGGATTGGCCACTCACCCTTCGATTGCTGGATACAGAACTTGTTGTATGAACAAACCTTTTTCATACAAGTACCCTTTGTCAAATGATTTTCACAATGTTGTCCGTGGTTTCAGGGAATAAACGAACACCGCTGTGACCTCAGACGGCAGCAACGACAGAAACGCCAAGCTTTGAGTCCTGTCCCTGCATATCGTTGCCTATGGCTAAGTTTTCCCGAGACAAGGAAGCCACACTTGTCCCAGATATCGCCCAAATTTGTGATGCTTTGTTGCAGGCACGATTGGAGTAATCACCACGGCCTAATTCCCAAGCCACTTTGGGCAATGCCCGGCGTACGTCAATAGAGGGACGTCTGCTTCATGATGCTGATGAATTCATCTTCATTGATGTCGCCTCAGACTTTCCAGCACTCACTACCGGCCAGACCATGGTTGTATGAACTCCGCGTTGAACATACAGCTCGAAAATGCGTCGAGCATCCGTCCTGATCCAGATCGAACTCCTCAGATTCACATGGTCCAGAGTTTGTGAGCAACAGTTTCCTGCATGCTTGTGGTTAGGCAACCAAGACTATCGCAGTCTGTACTTGACTGCATAGCCTCCACACACAACTGAAAACTGGGAAAAACATTGGTGTTCGATGAATCCTTCGATGAAGGGATGCCTACTAAACACTTGGTTTCTTCTTGGCACGCGACACTGAAACACTCGGGCTTCAGACAGAAACATGCATGCTAATTGACATGTCTGACATGGCTGCTGCGCTCGTCACTGCCTGAAAAGCAGAGAAGAAGGCCTGGCTTTGTTGCAGGTACGTGATTGGGCGTCCCCCGTGATGTGTTTGCCACATACGTACCAGCTTTGTTACAAGTGAGCGACCCAAGGCACCCCACGCGGGCAAAAGGCACCCCACTGCCCTTAGACGCCCCCATAAGCAAAGGCACCCCACCTCGGCAGAAGGCACCCCACCGGCTTCAAACCCCCGCGAGGCCGTTAGTTAATTCAATGAATGCCTGGAGGTCTAAATTTTTGAAAAATGTCCAAAGGGGAGGACAGCCCATCACAGAGCCGTCACGGTGGTATGGCCCACAACCACCACTGTACCACGTTGAGACAGTCGCACAATGGCTCGAGCATTTTTTTTGCGAGATGGTTGCGGCTGGCATCGAGGCCGCGCGTGGGAGAATGGGAGATGCAGTAGAAAATACCTGTACAAAATTTTTCTCCATGCTTTTTGCTGGGTTCTTGATGAAAGGATGCGTATCGAACCTAGCTTCTCGGCACACGAACCTGAAACCACTGGAACACCGCCAGTCCAAACTGAAGTTGGTGCAGTAGCTGCAGGAGGAGCTGTCTTGTTTGCTGTCTATCTTCTGGTCGCTTTGTTGACCAGATTCGTATGGATTTGAAGACAATGATTTGAAACGTCTTCTACATGTAGACAATCCATCTGCAGTGTCTTCCACGTTTTCCACTGCGCCATCTTGTATGAATCTGGATGTGGATAACATTTGTTGCCATGGCATGGGACAACAAGTCTTCAATGATGATTTAAGTATGCAGTAAACTTCCAGCTGGGCCTGGCAAGAAATTTGAAAGGATGTGTTTTAGAAAACTTGTGCTGGGCGCGTTAATCCAAATTTAAGATCTGTCAAATGCTGCTGTTGCAACTGATATCTTTTGGAACGAATATCCTGAAGAACATGACCTTCTGGAAACGCTGCTGCCAAACAATATTCAGCGCTCAGCATGACATGGTAATTGGTGGTCTCCAAGCCTGTTAGATTTTCTTCAACGGAGAAATTTGAGTTGCAGAGCGACACTCCGATACCGTTTTGGCAGCAGATACCATCCCAAAGCCTGTGGTCGACCCTCCTTCTTTTTCAGAGGCCTGGCTTTCTAGTGTTACCGGGGGTCCTGAACGTTGACTTCAACCAGCACTGGCTGGCGGAAAACTAGTGGCTTCCCCTTACTCAACATTAACCGCTCCCCGTGACAAAGTATACTTGTTCCCCAGACTTCCAACGTCTGAAATCTGCCCCCAAGAATAAAAAACCAAGACTAATCAGGGCTCGGATCTTCTGAGTCAGGGGGGTCCCTAGCATGACTCTCAAGGATTAAGGATCTCCTTGATTCCTAGATGTTGGTTGTTGTTGAATGGTTTAAAAAGAAACTGATTTAAGAAAATACATGAATGCGATTTTGATTAGTTTATTTCGAGTCTAAATCGCTTCTAACGAGTTTTTAATGAGATCTTAAGTAGATTTCAAAATTGTTCAAATGAGATTTCGATTAAAGACTTTAATTGGTCTGGTTACGATGCTAAATTGATGTCAAACTTTTTAAATTGGTGCTATTTGGATTTCAATTGGTTTTGGTTGCACGTATACTTCATTCCTTTAATGATGCTAATGAGGCTTATACGGCTTGATTCGATTTAACCGTTTGTTTTCTAATTAGCCCCCCTCTAATGTTCGGGTCGTACGAGAATATCCCCCCTAGCATTACGCGATTCACTTGTTGTGGATGTGGTCGAAGCGAACGTTATTATGGGTGCCGGCATGCATTCGCTAGTATCTTGTTTTGCTGTAAATAACAGTAATCTTGCAGTTGTGGTAGGATTTATACAGATGCTATGACCGTGGATGCGCACGTAACATGAAGATGCTGCAGGCAAATAGGGGGGG